GTTCCAAATTCGTGCCGAAACGTACATGAATGGCCCCGTAGTAAGGAACCGGCACAGCGCTAGCACGGAAATGGACGAAGCAAACAAAAAAGTCCAGAAAATGTAGAACCTACCACTTTTGATGATTAGGTTCAGCTCCTGTATTGATAATGTCATGAGACCTAAGTTCAGACCCGAGAATAAAGCAGACATGGTGAAGAGCACACCCAAAATTCCGACCTTGAATTATTTTCTAGAGAGTCCGGATGGGTTTAGCTACATTTATAGTCTGATACCTGCACAGAAATTGGCAAGTAGTGTTCTTTGAGGGTCTCTTTCGTATTTATCCATGTTCGATCATCATCAATCTAAAATAGCATGTAAGGACAGTCTCACGTTGATTATAAAGTTCTACCAGCAAAAGCTCTCCCAATCGTCCTTGTTGTTTTACACACAATCTCCATGAGTCCTCACCGCTAAAATATCACTTGGTATCGTCAGATTTGTAATTTGATATGCATCATGCACACCATGCGCGCAAATTGGCGGCTTGCAAGATTGAAATCTGCTCATTTCCAGTAATTTTGTTTCCTTTTCTCTTTTCGTTTGATTGAGTATGTATCACTTTATACGTTGACGTAAACGCGCATTTTTAGTTGCCTGCCTTGTGGGACAATGCCTTCCACGAAAAAGGTCGAGACTCTTAGCTAGAATCAAGCATATCTCAATCTAATATACCTAAAGTAATTCTAAGAAGTTACCGAGAGACGCGGAAGTAAATACTAGGTACAAAGCGTAAGGGAAAACGAAAACGAAAAACGAATGTATCCAAAAGTTATTTCGACAAATTTTAAGTCATTGCCCACCTATGGGTCATGTTGTCATCATTGTGTTTCATGTGCACATTTACAGTTTGTTATGCAGAAAAGCTTTTTTACAGTAAATGGAATACATCAAAATGAATTGTTAAAGATACTGAAAAATGCGCTTTTCCTGTTCTCCTGCGCATATGTATGGTGTGCATTTGCACAAACTCCTGACAACTCGACTCACTTCGGAAATGACATTTTCAGCTCA